AACTGCGGGAGACGTAGGAGAATGAGGAATTAAATTACAAAATCCAACATTGGATACTGCAAAACTTTCAGTACTAATCACTTGATGAAACGGAGCCCAACTCGGAATAACTTGTTTCTGTTGACGTTCAATCATGCCGTTATCATTCATTTTCAACTTGCAAAGTATCCATATTAATTCTGAGTGATGATTTTTCGTTATTTTAAACGTATCTAGATCTGCATAAGAATTAGAAACGTGTGGTTTGCGATTGGCGACAACAAAGTTTTCTAGGGGTTGGCTGAGTAAAAAATCTGAACTAATATCTTTTATGTTATCATTTGAAATAAAATTTATAACACGTAGAGAGTCGGATAAGCGCGGTTGATACAATACCATAGCTGTGACATGTGTCGTTTTTTTCCCGTTTAATGTTTCCTCCATAAAATCATTATTATCTATAGCGCCATGTAAAAATAATGATGAGTTCTTGATAATATTACTTGGATTTCTAATAAGATAATGATTTTGTTCATAGACAATTTTTTTAATTAAATTAGAATCTAAATTTAATAAATCGGTATAGCTGATACTATGACTTAGTTTTGATAAAATATTTATAAGTAGTTTTGAGCGTGTTGTATGATGAATCATTTCAGCTAATGCAATGTGCTTTGGAGTATGTGTTCCATTTGTAGCATATTGAAAATCCATGAAGATAGATTTTGCGCGACGTAATTTAATATCACTTAATGGTTTCTTATATGTAAACAACTTGTTAAAAAATGTAGACCAGTGCGGTGGTAACTTGAATTTGTTAAAATAGAAATCAGTTACATTATCATCGCAAACATAACTAACCATGTCCGTGTTAGTCGATAGTAATTCTGGTTTTAAAATATCTACGCATTGCTGAATAATTGTTTTAGGATCATTAAAGTTCCGCATACGTTCAACTATCTTATTTAAAGATATATCGCTAAGAAAAACCAATGACGATTTTGATTTGTTAACGGAATGAGAAAATAAAATATTTTCACCATACTCTTTAATTAGCAGCTCTTTAACCTTATTATTATTCACTGGTTGATTTGCATTGTTGGCGTAAAAATTAACGCGGTCTGTTATAAAACTTAATTCACACGCTGAATTCGATAATTCATACTTAATTTCACACAGTACGCGCTTAAAACTGTTATTAATAATATCAACTTGTTCTCTTGTATCAGATTCAATTTGCTTTGATAGAGTTATTGATTGATAGATGTAATTTTTTAAACATGTTTCATGATATCGAGTTTTTCGAGCAATAACTTCATCAGCAGTACAAAAAGTAGATATTCTCGTGAAAACCTCATCTAGTTTCAAACAGGCTACCGATACTAATTTTTGAGCAGTTGATTTGTTTGATAATAATGATGTTGCAATAACTTTATTCTTGCTTACTTGATTACATACAATGCAATTGTCACCGTAGAAGTTATTCGCATTTCTAAAAGAATAACTGGCAGTTAGTGAGGCTGCGCCGAGATTTTCACTTTTTATGCAATTTTTGTTTTCTTCTTTCTGCAGAAAGATTTCTCTTCGCCGGATTTTTTCTTCACTCGTATAGGTTGCATAACAGCTTGCATGCCATGAAAATGACTGTAAAATTTCACTTGATTTGTATAACAAATTAAAACGTTCTGTTACATCGTCGTTTCTACGAAAAGCCGCATTTTTAATAATCAAATACGAATCGGGTTTTGGATTTGCTGTAGTGTTCTTTTGTTCAGTAACATTATTGCAAATAATACATGGCAAACTAATCACCTCTAACTTCCTTTTCTTAGCAAAAGTAATGTACTCAGACATATTTCAGCACTTGCACTCGTAATATTAAAATTAATATGCAAAATACACATTACACACTAAAAATACATATTTAAAATGGTCTTAACGACTAAATCGTCTGTCTTGTACGACAAGAACACTGAAACTAATCGTATTTTATTTTTTGATACGTCAATTTTAAAAACAAAAGCTTGTCATGACATGCAATGAATATATCTAGAAAAATAAGCTTGAAATTCAAGATAAAGGATTTGCTTTATGAAACAAAATTAAATTGAATTTAGAGTTTTATAAGTTGATAGATAATTTAGTAAATAAATTCGTATGGCACTAAGTCTTGTAGTTGTAGAAAAAATAATGTACAATGTATACCTTTATGTAAATGTAACATAGACGAGTGTAAAAATATATAATTTTCATTGTTTATGTAAGAATTTAATATAATTTTTTTAATAAAATGGAATTGTAGTAAATGGAATCCACTTATTCGTTAACATATCAATTAATTAATTAAACTACCTTCTATTGCGACGCGACAGTGCAGAGAAGCCGTCGGTTGAGCACCCATGCTGCATTGCCTTAAATTACGCGCTTAGACGCGAAGTGTTTCTTGCTATAAATGGGGTTTGCCGTTGACTTTTCGATTTTTTTTTTTTTAACATTGTAGATGAAGATTGTAAGTTTATATATCGTTCATTTGCCATTCGAAATTCGTAGTTTTTCACGCTGATTAAAGGCTTCGAAAATCACAAAATTGGCATTTTTTCGAGTTTCAATAATTTTTTACACGAAAACTATCAACTTTAGGCGGAAACGAATAAGAACTTTTTTTGTTCCAAATTGTTCAATTAATTGAAAAATATTTTTTTCAGAGCCGAAAAACAAGTATTAATCATTTGTTTAAAAAAAGTTAGTTTAAACAATTACTGACCAGGTTAGCCGCCGGCAAACTGAGGTTTATTATTCAGAAGAGTCTAAAGAACGCGAAAATGCAAAAAAATTCCACTCTAAATGATCTTCGACGAATGCGCCAATTTCGCCCGGACTAAACGTAATTAGCGGGCTTAAGGTGTGTTTCGGTTAGGTCGACTTCTCTCTTCAGTCAGCACGGTGTGAACACTCGCGGGCTCCCTTGCTACTGCACCGCGCGGACAAGCTAAGGAATTTATAGACGGCGATCGTTAATCAGACGACCTGATTTTTTTTGTCTTATTAGATCAACGGGATATAATGCAATACACCGAATTTTATAAGCGCGACGTTGGAACGAAAAAACATTTATCTTCTTTTTGTTTCAAGTTTGTTGGGATTGAATACCGATGAAATGATTCAAGTTTTTTCTGGACATAGTTATGTGGAATTGTCGATGTGAAATGTTCACGAGAAGTAGACTATTTTCAATTATTTAGTACTGACGACCTGTCGATCGAATCCTTGAATGATAAAAAATATTCTTCGTCATAAAAAGCGCTAAACAATGCAAAATCAAATCAAGAACACGTATGCAATTAGGATTACGTCTCTCTCACTCGCGCTGTCGAAGTTCAGACGATCCTTGCGTGGAGTGCAGCATTTACGTAAGACCGTCGACTTAGTTTGCTCCAGATAATAGCAATAGAGCAACAGTGGCGGCAGCAGCTCAATCAGAATCGTTACAACAAAAAAAAAAAAAAAAATAATGAGACGTAGAGGCTACCGTAGGCCGCGCCTCACGAAAGCGAAACACAAACACATTCGCGAATTACGTGTGCTGGCGAAGGAAGTGATTCTTCACAACCATCGACCATGAGCAAGGAAAGCAGCGCCGCGAGAATAATACAAGAAGTCGCTGCGCGCGTGAATATTGAATAAAAACATACGAACGAACTTTTATGCGTGTGGTTCCCCGAGTTTTGAGTTGAGGCCGCGGAGGCGTGGCGTAACGAGCACACTTTGTTTGCGAGGAATAGTCCAAAAGCACAAAGAGCCGCGCGACAATAACATAAACGGTCGCATATATATGTATATATGCGACTCAACGCCCGCGCTCCTCATCGCGTATGCTGTGCTGTCGCGAAGCGCGATGGGGCAACGCGCGCGCCGACGTACTTGATAATTCTGCGCTCCTCTTTGGAAATTTGGCAACGCGTTAGAAAGCTTCGCTGGTAGACGCTTGCGCGCTTACGCAAGCTCTAATTAATCTTAGAAGGATCGAGATACTTTTCCAGTGAATGTGTGCTCGGTTTTTGAGGTAGCGCGCGTAACGAGAGCGAGAGAAGGTGTTACATTGGAATCAACGAGCGTTTTACACCTCATTTTTCAAGATAAGACGTGCCTGATCCTGTATGCACTTCCTTCCGTGTTTACGCTAGCTACCGCCATACAAATTCTAATTAAGTGTCAACTATCTGAGATATTCGGATTAGAAAAGTCAGTCTCGCGGTAATTATGTTTTCCCCGGGATTTATTGTAAAATGGTTTAGAAAGCATATTTACGCGTTCAAGTTTGCTCTTATTTTTCAAAAGAGTCCGCTTTGCAAAGAAAAGTAAGGTACAAGGAGAACTCGTTGCGATGTCGAAGAGTCGGAGAACTTTGGTTGCACGCTGGTTTCTTACCGACGAGAAAAGCAAACACGAACTCAGGGTTAAGAAACTCACAAGCACTGCAGATACATCCATTTATAAAACAAGTATCGCTCGAATTCTCCATATGAAATTTCATCGAGCTTTCTACATATTCCTATAAAGTTTTGGCGGCAACAACGCACGTCACGACACAAAGGCAGATGAAGCGCGTGGCCACTTTCACAAGTCGATGTATCCGCGCGCATCGAAAAAAAAAAAACCAAAATACACACAGAAAGCGCCAAGAGTGGAAAAAGGAGCATTGCGAGCGAAGGGCGCTCCCGGTCGGAACTCCCACCACGATCGCGGTCGTCGTGGTCGCGCGGACTTCGTCATGAGCATCATCGAAGAAGAAGTTCGCCTTGGTGGGAGAGAGCGAGAAAGGGCGGCGGAAAACGGGAGCGTGCGCGGATGAGTAGGAGGCAGGAGAAAAAAGAGCGGAGAGATGATGTAGGCGCTGCCGCTGCCCGCCGGCACGGCGGTGGTAGAAAGGTATACGGGGGGTATCGGCGCTCTCAACAGCGCGCTTATAGACCAGGTTTACTTCGTTTCGCCTGCCAATTGTGCTTGAGCGCCACCGCAGCGCAGCCCATCAAAAGACAACTTGTGTTTTTCTTTTTTTTTTTCACTCGCGGTCGCGCGAGGACATCGCATCCCTACTGCTTCATATTTCACTGGCGCTTTTAAAGTCGGCGCCTTGAAGAAGAATCAAGAAGGACGACAGTTCGTTTCCGACTGAGCCATGAAGCGGATCTCTGCGTTGTGTTCGCTCATTGTCCTCGTGATAGTTGGATGCCTCGTCGTCGACAGCCAGGCTTACCTTGTTCACGAGATACCTGAGGAGGTCAGTGTTTCAGTGAACAAATCTTTTTTCGTTCTTCTTTTTCTTCAGCGAAAGTGGTGACTTTTTTCAAAGTGATATGGTGCTAATGATGATGATTTGACGAAGGAGTGCTTGTAATTTGAGCTCTCTGTGCGAAGTTCATTTCCTTTTCTTTTTTTTTTTTCAAGAGAAAAACGTGTTTGTTTGCTCTCCGTCCTAGGTTTTCTAGTGATTATCGATAGTTTCTCTATTGTTTCGACGTCGCTGAAAAAAAGAGACAATCAGGAAGGAGAATTTTTTCTCGGCGATTCGATGAGTATCTCAGTAGATTGATCTGTGACGGGGAAATTTAATTCTTTTTGTTTTTACGTCAAAGTCAAAATTAATTTGGCCGAATGATAATTCCGTAATGAGTTTTTGCAAATTTATTCCGGTGACGAAATACCGTATGCCAATTGAATTTTCCACAGGCGTTATAAGTTTCTAAATCTCGAACGTTCCGTGAAACATCTTTTTTCTCTTTCGCTTGTGAACGTGCAATTATTGAAATCTAGATATGCGGGATCAATTCAAAGTGCTCGCATCGAATGAAATGGTGTACCGCTAGCATTAAGCACGTGTGCGCCTGCATCGAATCGACTTGCGAAAAGTTCTCAGAGTACGCGAACGTGCGCGCGCGTTGTTATGATATTGAATCACATCTTATGTATTAGCATAAGCACGCTAATAATCCGCGCGTGAGTTACAACTTCATTGGACTTATAAATGTCAATTCACTCGAAGCCATTCCCGCGCATTGTGATACGAACGAAACTCGAGGAAAAAAAGAAGGCGCCTGGACTTCGCGCAGCCTCTATGTGTATTTTTCTCATCCGATAATTGCTCAATCGCTGTCGCAGTGCGTCGTCGTCGCCGCCTTGCGATGCGCATTCCCCGAGAGTTGACGTTAGGAAACCGCATCTCCCAGCGACAAAGTTAACAAGGCCAGCTCGCGCGCGCCGCGCGCCACCGCGCAAATATCGCTTCCGAATGGTTAATTGCGCAAACCCCACAGACGTCCCTCCGGGGAGCTCGACTAATTGGCAGTACGTACGCGTAAATCTTCGCTATGCCGAAATTAATTAGCCGCGCCGCGTGCACCGCAGCAAGCTCTTCGCATTTTCCCTGCATTGTGTGTCCGTAGGGGCTGAATGATACGCATAGTAGAAATCCAGAACATAATACTTGATCGCTTTAATTGGCCGTGGAAAGAGCCTTCGGCGTTGATATTCAAATTAGTGCCTTCGAGTTATTCGTGCGCTGGTTACGATGCAACGTTCTATTTTTTTCTCGTACGTATATCGAAGATTACTAGTGGACGCAACTCACGGATAAGTTAATTAACACGTGTAATTGCACCATCACGATATAAATTTACGTACACGCGGAGTCTGATAAGAAGATATCGGGCTGACGAGAGAGAGAGACATAATTCTGAAACTGGTTCGAGATGCAGCAGCTAGAAAGTGCACTATGAGATCGTGACTATGCGCAAGCGCGAGTGTGAAATGATGAAGGAAGTTTTCTTTTTGGGCCCACTTGATGATATATGAGGTTCGCGACGGATTTTTTTTTTTTCACGAAAATTACGTAATGGACTAACAATAATCAATAGTTTTTGCGAGCGTAGTTTATTTGCGAAGGTCGTGGCTTTTATTCGATAAATTAAGAATAGTCGTGATCGAAAATTCAGCGTAATTACCGTCTATCAGTCGTTCGACAAATAGGGGGATTCATCTTTCACGTACGTAAACGTGAAAAAATCTCGTTCGTGTTGATCTTTTCAGCGAAAACTCGCGGGGAGAATGGAAATCTACTTATCACGACCGTGACATTCGTAGAGAAAACGCAATTACATTTGAAAAATTGTCGCTATGAGGGATAAAAAAAAACAAAGTTCCTGCAATTAGTGCACTAGCACGCGAGCGCGAGCATTCGCTCGGAAAATTAACGGCCTGCGCTCGGACGACGAAAAATGAGGAGGAATGAATTCACTTTCTCATACCTACGGAACGTGTGAATTTTAACACTGAGTATAAATTATAATGGAAAATTTTTCGAACATTTGTTTGATTTACGATTGACTAGCGCACGATGAAAATTTCTTTTTTTTTACATTCACAATTTCACGTTTGTACGCATGTAATCGATGTTTGAAATGTGATTTACAGTGATTTGAATGCGAGAATGAAGTTTTAACAATTTAACGCGTTAGTCAGCTCATGGACAGATAATTACGTAACTGGAAGATTTTAAATGTAGAAAAGCTAAACTCAGATGTCAAATAAGTTATAATCTGGAAAAACTTGTAAATTGAGTTTGCGCGATTAATTGTACAAAAAAAACAGGCGTTGAGGAATAGGCTTAATTGTTTGTTTTAAAACCACTTGCCACTTGCTTCAATTACCCTGGGCCTCAAAGCAGGATTAATGTTGTTGGATCGAGCGTTAATTAGGATTTTTAGCTTGCTAACGCGTTCGTGCGGCGTTTACAAGCGATTTTTGCTGATCCTTCGACACTTTAAATTAATGCAACTGCCGTGGCACAAGCAATAAAGAATGAAAAAACACTTACGGTTCTTAAATGAGACATTATAAGATATTTAATTAATACCTGCTTTCCACACGCAATGTTTGTGGTATTTAAACGATTTTCAATCGCAAGATTCCATTAATTACCATGAAAAATGTCATTTGTTTGGATTAGCCTAGAAGTGTGATTACATTTCTCAAACAAGGATTGGCCCTTTATGTTAAACATCAATAGTATTACTGTTTTGTTAAGTCAGTGTCTCGTAAAAAAGAAGCAAATTAAAGAGGCATTTGTCTCCTTAATGCAGAATAAAAAAGGATTTATGAATTTCTCTCGAGGACTCACGCAGTGAGAAAGTTTATCGTGACGGGAACACGGCGAGCATATTGAAAGTGGATGCACGCATTAAAGAGATCGAAAGTGACCAGGCTCGTTGTTTTTTTTTTCCGTTACATATTCCATTTTCGTGCGTTTGTTTTTGAGTTTAACCTCTAAACTCTTTCTTTTCGTTTTTTACAGAACTTGAACTTGTCTGGATTATCTCATTATTACCGCACTTTATGGCAAAAAAGAACTATCGTTTCGAGGATTTCACACAAGTATAAGTGGAATTCAATGAAAAGTTTCTTTACCCATTCTGCGTACAAAGCAGTCCTTGATTTCAAGGCAGATGTAGCATGAAGTTTCATTACCTTGGAGTAACGGACTGGAAAAACACGTTCTTAATTGCCATTTTTCTGGACCAATGTAAATAAAGTTTCAGAAGTTTTCATTCGCTCGATTAATATTGATCTCATTCATAATAACTAGAATTAAACAGTTTCTTGTCATTACAAGTGATGACAAAGCCACTTTCCACATATGAAGCAACGACTTTGCAAACTTTTTTAAAATGCCCATCATTCGTATGTTCTCATTCTCTTGCGGATTGCAACATGTTAATTTTTCATTAGTTTCTAGGACGGAACAAGCTTTCGATTGCAAAAATCTTTGTGTTAGGCTTAATCGATGTTTCGTGTTAGTAATACTGTTTTTTCCATCAGCGTTTGCTTTGGACAATATATGCTAAAAAATCCAGTCAAGAAGTATATTTTTTTTCTTTTAAAATTTCCTCTATGTAAACACTTTTTATCTCCACACATTTATCGAAAACTGTGCAAACTGCTCTTACGGGAAATAGAAAGTGTTTGATCAATCTGAAACTGAGAACTGTTTCTTTCGAACGCTCAATCATTCGATGTACAGTTATGTTAGCTAGTTATACTGAAATCAAATTACTTTAGATGTTAATCAATTGTGAGCAGTGAACGCAATGAAAAAATTCTTATTATAAATTGTTATAATATTAAAACATATATACATTTTGATGATTCTTTAAATAAAAGAATTATTATAAAAGGGTACAAGGAGTAATCGCGACAACTCGAAATATTTTATATATCTGACACTTATTATCAATCATATTGGAATTATCACGCAAAAAATCTAGAACGCAATAAAGCTCCCCACGTTGATTCAAGCAAATAATGCAATTGTATAGCACTTTACACCAAATAAATCTCAGCTCTGCTATCTATCAAGTAGCTCGATATAATCGACCACCCACCGGCATCACTAATTTGCAACGTTTTTCCAAGAGCCATAAGAGGCAAAAATCGAGGTGCAAGCCTGTGAACGCGCGTGCTAGAGTCTATTACGCCAAGTTTTTTTTTCACTTTAACGCGTCTAGAGCTCTCATTTCAGAGCTCTCCTCTTTGGATCAGTGCAGAAACAGGAGGGAAAGTATATATAGAGTGCTCATCGGAAGCCACGCAGCAACAATGGTTCCGTTTTTCAAAGCGTTTACGTAATTAACAGAGCGAGCGAAAAAGGTATTGTTGCGGATAATCCACGACATCATTGCATCACGTGGTGAGCTCTCAGTCGAAATATGAGGAAGGCATCATCTATGAAGATCTACAATGAGTCTATAAATTTGATTATGAGATAGTGATGAAGTCATTAAGCAGAACGCAGATATGCGGAGGAAAAGTGGACTATTTATGGGACCTTTCGTCATGTAACGCTCTCGCTCTGCGAGTAGTCCTTACACACACATATGCCTGCCCAATTGTAATGCCATTTCCAGCGGCTCTTATATTGCATTGCCGTAATGCATGAGCATTTCTTTCCTTTTCTTCTCTCTCTCTCTCTCCCTCTAACGATTTCTTTTGTTCTTTCTAAACCTACGTATTACTCCTGACGGAGCCTAGTTGAAGAAACTTTTGCCAAGTGACTCATCATCAAATTGTTGATTTTTCAAGTTAATTAAATTAGTACGCTATGTAGACTATATAGTGTAGAGGTGCTTATTACGAGGAAGGAATTTTAATCGTTTATTGATGCATTGTCTTATCAGATAATGCGTGCAATTTGCGAAAATTACATTTTACAAACAACACCAGTGGAAA